TTTTCACACAAAAATAGCATTCGGTAGCCATTTTCACCCTGAAGATAAAATAAAGTCCGAAATTTTTTTTTTCACGATAAAATATATTACATTAATAGTATCAGAAAAAGTTCTGTCATTGTAATTTTTATATTAAGTGTAATAGGTTTAAGTTAGGAAATGAACCGCAAGCAGCTTTGTATAATGATGAGCTAGTCAAAAATTTGCCTATTCTATTAAAATCTCAAATAACGATCTGGGCTACGTTCTTTTTATATCGATAGTGTGATATGTATGAATTAAAAACAAATTAAATTAAAATATTTTTACTTACCATTACATTAAAAATAGCGAAGAATGTACAGTAAAATAAAATGATTAATGAAATACGTGACATAATTAAATTTGATCTTTAAAGTATTAAAATCAAATTTAAAAATCTATACATTAACAGTGTAAAAAATACAAAATATTAATTGGTTTCAAACATTTAGACATGCTAATATAAAGACATACTAAGTATAAATATATTGTTCACATTAAGTAAGCAAAGAAAAATTAATAAACATTAATAAACCTTGATAAAAAATCTACATTAAAATAGTAAATATTTAGACTTTTCAAACATAGACGTTGATAATAATAAAAAGATTCATGTATTTTCACAATACAGTGTGCTTCTTAATTATTATTACTTTATACAAACCTTTACATTCTTTCACACACGATATTATATATATATATATATTACTCATACGTGTTTGAAATTTAAAAATATTTGTATAAATAAATTGTTGATCTATAAAGTTGTAGTTTTGGGAATTAATTTTGGAAAGACGATAACAATGTTGTCTGGTATAGATAATGAGTCAATTAACAAGCACGTATGTTGCTCGTACGTAATGCCGCAAAATCTTATGTTGTATATGCAAGTCGTATGGACCTTACACACATTGGGTAGGGGCATTGTTTACACGCGGACTTTTAGGTCAATAGTTACTGCATTTCTCGTACAAATATAATTTTTATAAGTTCTTCTTTATAAATTGACGATGTTCTTTAATGCATACAGCAATGTATTCCCATTTATAAGTACTAAGTTTTAAGATATAAATATATCTGTACTTTTAAAGATTAAAAAAAATTTGGTTTTCTCAAAAATTAATATCTTCATATCAAAGCTAAAATAATTTTGGTACACAAAAATTATTACTTTCAAATTGGTTGTTCCATTTAAAAAATTTTAATTGATAATCAAATTAGAATAAAAAAAGTGAGAAAATGTAATACGCTCTTGTAACCTGTTAAGGATTTTTTTGTTAACTGTCTAGATAGACTGGGAATTAAAAAAAAGTTACTTTGTAAATGAATATTAAGTATTTTAAGTACATATATTTTTTTAATTAATATTTTTGATATATTTTTAACTTTTAAATAATATTAGCCTCAAAATAATCATTGATTTTAGCTTCGATGCAAAGCGGAGAAGGTATTAATTTTACTATGTGTTTTTTTTTTTTTTTTTATGTCTGTTGCCACTTTTTCTCAGCTCTCACTGGACCGATTTCTTTCAAAAATACGTCAAAAGATCACAAATCGTATC